ACACACACGGAGTGAGAGACAGCAGATCAACACACACACACACAGAATGAGACAGCAGATCAACACACACACACACCTTGCTCATCTCCTCTCTCTCTTCCGCGTGCATCCAGATGGGCTTGTTTTCAGCTGGAAACAGACACACAGGTGACATCATTACCCATGATGCTCTCTGTTGTATCAGACTAGAATCAGGGTCAGTCTTTTGAACACTCATTAAATAAAGTCTGATTCATAACCACTAGATTCTAGAACCACAATGATTCATACTGAAATACTGAAGTGCATGTAATCATGTTCATATTTTCTCTGTCAAACCTGCAGCAGCTTCATTGTGAGCATCTCTGAACGTCACTCACCGTCCACCGATCCGAACTCCTTCTCGTGAGCGCGGGTCAGAATCTCTTTGTACAGGACCTCGGCTTCTTTGTATTTGCCTTGTTTGAGGAAGCAGGACGCCTGCGGAGAGACGAGAGCGTTCACTGCTGATGAAGATCATCCAACAGAGACAGATGGAGTGAATGAGTGTGTGTGTGAGAGAGAGTGTGTGTGTGTGAGAGAGAGTGTGTGTGTGTGTGTGTGTGTGTGTGAGTGTGTGTGTGTGTGTGTGTGTGTGTGTGTGTGTGTGTGTAATATGAAATTTAATGATACCCCAAACTATGAAACTAAAAGCACCAGTAGGTGGCGGCAAGTCTTAATGAATGAGTCATTCAGTCATTCATTCAACTGATTCATTCAGAACCGAAGCAAGTGACTCCTTATGAACGAGTCACTGAATCATTGACTCGCTTGATTTGTCCTAAACCGTGGATTCATTCAGTAATGAATCACCGCTGTGTGTCGATCGTTCTTGCAGTGGCTTTTTTATTTGCAAAACTGGGCAAAAAACAGACAATATTGTGTCTAAAATGTAACACAATAGTAATGTCTTGTTTATTGATCTGTTGTGTAAATCAATCTCACATTTGCAGTCGTGCAGATACTGGGGAAAAACATCACTCTTGCTGGTGTGATATTACTAAACTATATCATATGATATAAATATAAGAGAGTCATTTTTGCCCTCATATCCTGAATTTTAGACACATATAACTGCATTCTGATAGACTTCATCATGCAATCAGTGTAAGATGATGGACAAGTCTGGACTTTAAATGCATTAAACATTTGAATGCACTATTTCTCCATAATCGACAGCCCTGTATAGAACACACAGGAAGTACAGCTGCACACAAAAGGCAGACGCTCTGATGAATTCTGCTGCAGCTCTGCTCATATTTGCATGATGAGGGTAAAATGCAAATGCAGCCGCTTATCAAGCGTGTGTTTAAACCGGCTGCAGAAGCGCTGTTCTCACACTCAGTGTTGGGGGGAACGCATTACAAGTAACACGAGTTACGTAATCAGATTACTTTTTTAAAGTAACACATTACTTTTTAATTTAGAAGGAAATATCTGAGTTACTTTTTCAAATAAGTAACGCCAGTTACTTTGTTTCCATGTGTTGAGTGACAGCTCTGGTGTTGCCATGGTGACAGAAATCAGGAGTAAGTGCAGAGCGTTGTGTGTGAACATGATCTTACTGTAGTTCTAGAGTAACGCGAGTTACGTAATCAGATTACTTTTTTCAAGTAACTAGTAAAGTAACGCATTACTTTTTAATTTAGAAGGAAATATCTGAGTTACTTTTTCAAATAAGTAACGCCAGTTACTTTGTTTCCATGTGTTGAGTGACAGCTCTGGTGTTGCCATGGTGACAGAAATCAGGAGTAAGTGCAGAGCGTTGTGTGTGAACATGATCTTACTGTAGTTCTAGACTAAATATCAACATGTGTTTACTCATCTCACTGCACACAAACACATTCAGTGTACAGTAATATTATACAAACCTGCAATAATTATGTTAAATAAAACAAATATCATTTATGTATTTAATCACATTTTATTAACCAATGTCTTCGCTACTGACCTTCGATGATCCAATTCAATCATACTAAGCAAAAATAACACATCTGTGTTTCATTTTAGTTATTGCTGAATATTGTTGAAATAAATAGGCTCTGTCGTTGTGGTGTAATCAGAGGAAACAGCTGCTATCAGTGTTTAATCACATTCTGCTGCTCCATCAAAACTCGTCAGGAGGAGACGAGCGAGTAATCACTCATTTCACACGGCAGAGATCTCAGTGTTTATGGTGAGCACTGACCTTCTCTCGGATCTCCAGAGCTCGTTTACACAGCGGCTCGGCCTCCTTATACTTGCCTCTCTTCCCGTACAGCAAACAAACAAGCAAGCCCCGCCCAGATTTAAAAAGTAACTCAAAAGCAACATAACGCATTACTTTCCATAAAAAGTAACTAAGTATCGTAATTAGTTACTTTTTTAGGGAGTAACGCAACATTGTAATGCATCACTTTTAAAAGTAACTCTCCGCAGCACTGCTCAGACTCACCAGGTTGTTCTTGGTTTTGGCCACGTTGGGGTCGTCTGGGCCGAGCCGACACTCGTAGATCTCCAGCGCTCTGCAGTAATAATACTCCACCTCCTCATACTTGCCCTGATTCTGACACAACAGCGCCAGGTTATTCAGCTGCTTCGCCACGTCAGGATGATCCTTCCCCAGCACCTGACAGATATACACACACACAGAGACAAGGCTAATTCATTAGGACAATCATTTAAATGTAAGAGTTTAAATAAATAAACAGCTGCTGTCAGTGTTTAATCACATTCTGCTGCTCCATCAAAACTCCTCAGGAGACGAGCGAGTAATCACTCATCTCACACGGCAGAGATCTCAGTGTTTATGGTGAGCACTGACCTTCTCTCGGATCTCCAGAGCTCGTTTACACAGCGGCTCGGCCTCCTTATACTTGCCTCTCTTCCCGTACAGCACTGCCAGATTATTGAGAGTGGCTGCAACCTGAAACACAAGAGCAGAAACCAGCTGACCATCTCACATAACAAACATAACAAACCATAATCAACACTGATCTCATGAGACACACGGCTCTGAGAGAGTGACACTACTATTGCATCCTCAAAACAGTTCGTAAGAAGAGCTGTAGTTTTTCCTGTTATTGGGAGTCTGAATCTGAACTGATTAAATACAGATGACTTACAGCAGGATGGTCTTTGCCCAGTGTTTTCTCTCTGATGGAGAGAGCGTCGTTCAGCAGGTGAGCCGCCTCTTTATATTTATTCTGATCCCTGAGACACACACACACACACACACACACAGACACACACACACACACACACACACACACAGACGGTGAAGTCAGCACATGATAGTGATAGTGTGGTGAATCACTGTGAAGATCACTCTCTCACCTGTACACGAGTGCCAGGATGTTGAGCATGGTGGCCACGTCGGGGTGGTCGTGTCCCGAGGTTTTCTCCAGATCCTCCAGAGCTTGTTTGCAGAGCGGCACAGCCACCTCGTAGCGTCCCTGAGACGCGTACTGGATCACCAGGTTATGCAGCGTCCGCAGCCGCGCGGGGATCTCGTAGCCGCCCTGCGCCGCCGCCACCGCCGCACTGTTGTGCTGCTGCACTGCAGAGGGCAGAGGTCAGAGGTCAGAGCAGGGTTAACGACAGACGCTCACCTGAGACGACACAAAGCCACTAGAAGGCAGGCCTGCAACTAGGGATGCACCAAATGTTTGGCAACCGAAATTATTCAGCCAAAAATAGTAAATATAATAAGTGGAGAATAAGCAGAAAGACCAAATAAATTGTACCGAACAATGACGTGACGCAATCAAATAGAAGTGTGCACTAATGCAGCAAACATGTCACAGTGTGGAAGCTTTTAAAAGTGTCTGAGAAAGACGTAAAATCATTAAAGCACCGACAGCGAGAGACTGTTTAGCTCTGCATCGCATGTCTCGATGAGAAGAGGAAGGGTGGTTGCTGCTGGTTACTGTATGATGAGTGAAATCACAAAATGGCCTTAAATAGTAAATAAACTGCAGAATGTTATGTTTTCTAAAACACACACGGATTGCATGTGTTCTGACAGCGCTGACGAGCTCGTTAGCCAGGGTTCAGAGTCCAAATCTGCGCTGAAACAGTGTTACTCGTCAGCTGCTCAGCCACATTTTTATCAATTCTTACAATAATACATGCAACAAACATTATTTATAAATCTGCTGTTGTCAACAAAGAGGTCTTCCTGCGGGTTTCTGCCAAAATAAAAGCTGCATCAACATTCATAAATGTAATTTTACTGTTGTTCTGTAAAATAAAATAAAGTAAGACAATAATATTGATAACAATAATTACAACAGCTCTGTTAATACATTTATTATAACATTCACACAGTGTTCAAATTGGGATCTGTAATATTTTCTAATGTTTTAAAAGACGTCTCTTCTGCTCAGTGAGGCTGCATTTATTTGTACAGTAAAAAATACATTCTGATTCAAGAAGGGGGTCTCAAAAATGGCCAAAAAAATATTATTTTACTAGCTTGTTGATTTTAAGTTCAATTGTGCTTTGTTGGTATAGCGTCTGCTAGAATGTAAAAAAAATTTCAGTTTTAAGTAAATATTTTTAAATTGTTGTTTTGTAATTGATTATTTTTCTTTGCAAGACAAAACATTATAAAGCACATTTTGACTATTTAATTTATGCAATGGTGAAAAAAATTGGCAAAATACATGAAAATGTGAAAAACCATGTTCGGTATTCGGCCTCCAGCCCAGTGTTTCATTTAATTTGGCTTCGGCCAAGAATTTTCATTTCGGTGCCAAAAAAAGCGTAACGGCTAAAGTTAAAGGTCCCATATTGTCAAAACTGAAATCTCCTGGCTTTTTTCACGATAACTGAGTTTTTGGTACTTATACCGCAAATATATATTCTTAAGGACATCAAAACCTAAAATAAAACTCCAGAAAGGTGTACAATATGGGACCTTTAACGCTTCCGCTGTTCTGTTTGAATGGGTGTCAATGGAGGAGAGGCTTCACTACGCTGAATAAACAGCTTTTTAGAGGAACCGGCTTATCATTTAATGAATCGACAGCCTATCTGCTAATCTTCAATATGTTTTACACTAAACAATACTTTTGGATTTAACTATTTTTAGTTTACAACTAAAAAATGCCGTTTTATAAGAGAAGTCACTGACTTTTTGCGACAGGTGGCACTTCTCATTCATTCCTATAGGATCCGTAAACAGTGACTGAGTGTCGCACAACTCTGACTGAAATTCAGTGACGTCAAGGCTGTGATGTGATGGTTATTAAGGCACACAGACCCTAATACAGACCCTCTCATCTCCCTATAGTAAGATAATCTCTGGCCTGCAGTGATGTTCACTCACTTCCTTGAGAGTGTTCCTCCTCATCGTTAGGAAAGAGATCGTCCAGAGAGTCCTTGGGCGGCTCACCGTCCTTCTCCTCCTGGACAGACAGACAGATAAAGAGACAGACAGACAGACGGTTGTGAGACGTGCAGCACTGTGTTCATGTTGAGCTCACATCATTGCTGGAATGACTGTAATTATGAGCTCTAGACCTGTACAAACTACACTCACTGCTCCGGGATAAAACTCCTAAAAAACAACATTCATCTTTGCAGAAAGTCATAATTAAAGGATGGAAACAGCTTGAAAGAAGCTCCTTCACTGGATCATTGGATTAAAACCACTAGAAAGGCTTCAGATGGACACACTTTCTGTCCCTGTGCTGCAGAGGAGCTGAGATCTACACAAACTCCAGCATTTATTACAGCAAATGCAATTGTGCAATATATTTTTTACAGCATTATTTTTAATACAAATAAAATTGTTCAATTTACACCATTTATGAATGTATTCATCTTATTTAATAAACATGCAATTGTTCAATTTACAGCATTTATTAATCTGTTAATGTTATTTAATAAAAACGCAATTGTGCAATATATTTTTACAGCATTTTTTAATCTCTTTTAATGTTATTTAATAAAAATCACCTTGGATGCCTCGGGGGTGAGTAAAACACAGCCTAATTTTCATTACAGTGTTTATTAATCTCTGTTAATGTAATTTAATAAAATGCAATTGTGCAATATGATTATTAATCTTTCATAATGTTATTTAATACAATTTAATTATTAATTTTTTGTTTGTTAGTCCGCAGTTCATTAACTCATGTTAACAAATACAACTTTTAAAAGTGATTTTAAAAGTAAATGTTGAAGTTAACATTAAGATAAGTAGTTTAGAGGTATTGTTCGTTGTCAGTTCATGTTGACTAATTTATTTTAAGAATGTCAACAAAAGAGACCACATTGTAAATTTCCACCGAAAGCAAACAGCATTTAATTATTTCTTAACTAATGTCTATTAAACGTGCCACTGGTTAAAGTGTCTCTCCTCTCACTATTATCTGGACTATCAGCGGACTATCATCACTCTCAGCTCCAGCACTAGTGAGGTGTTTGTCAGACGATCACGCTCTGCTCTCACCGAAGGAGACGCGTCCTCGTCGTACTTCTTGAGCTGGTTCATGAACTCCAGGTGCTTTTTTCTTTTATGCCAAAAATCATTAGGATATTAAGTAAAGATCATGTTCCATGAAGATATTTTGCAAATTTCCTACCGTAAATATATCAAAGCTTAATTTTTGATTAGTAATATGCATTGCTAAGAACTTCATTTGGACAACTTTAAAGATGATTTTCTCAATATTTAGATTTTTTTTGCACCCTCAGATTCCAGATTTTCAAATATTGTCCTATCCTAACAAACCATACATCAATGGAAAGATTATTTATTCAGCTTTCAGATGATGTATAAATCTCAATTTCAGAAAAGTGACCCTTATGACTGGTTTTGTGGTCCTGGGTCACATATGATTTATATTATATGTAAATATAAATATATATTACATATATATTTTTTAATATATACATGTATGTGTGTGTATCTATATACATATGAATATACACAGTACACACAAAAAAATAAATACTTTTATTTTGTAAGCGATTAATTGTGATTAATCGATTTTTCAGCCCTACTGTAGAGTCTATTATACGACAGATACTAAGTTAATAAGTTATCATTAAAAAAAGTCAATCTCCCTACTTCTGGAACTTACTCACTTACTTTACTTCAGGATCAAACTGTTGTTCTCAATTGAGAAAATAAGTGGGAGGGGCTACTGCTTCTTTTGCTGGGAAATGATTGGATCAGTAAAGAGAACCACAGCTGGACTGATGGAGTCAGCATGATATTATGTTGTGATGAAACAGCACCGAGAAGCATGAGTTCTGAGTACAGCGTGACCCGGCGTCTCTCACCTGAGCCTCGCCCAGCCCCAGCTCGATCATCTCCACAGATCTCCTGAGCAGGCTGGACTTCTCGTGCACCACGCTGGCCTCCTCGTCCTTCTTCAGACACTTGATGGTCTCCCGCAGGCTGTGCAGGATGGAGTTGTGCTCGTTCTTCAGCGCCTCCAGACCCTGGATCACCAGCTTGGTGTTGGAGATGATCTCCTCCTGCGACAGCTTCTCCAGCTTCTCATCACGAGGGGCCAGCATCATGGACATGATCCAGCAGAGGCCTGAGAACAGACACGGCGATGCAGAGTTAGTAGTCCACTGATCTCATGACCTTAAGCCTGCAATAATGCGGTTTGACCGATGTGTAAATATATGCTATGTGCTTTCCTCTCAATAATGAAAAATACACGACAAAAACTGACAGCGGTGAGAAAGCAGCAGTTAAGAAAGCATCTGATTACAGCCATGTGTATGTTTGCAGTTCGGTACTCGCAGCACGTTTATTTATACAGTACTTTATGCAGTAGATAGCCTTAAATCAAGCAGCTTTACAGCATTAAACATGAAAAACCAGTCAGTGTCGCTTTCAGTTAGAATTACAACTTTATTTTCTGTTATAAAGTAGCTCTCCAGTGTGGAGCTAGCTAATGATCAAATCTTGTTATTAGTGGGAAAAACACTTAATTAAAGTGAATGTTTGGTTTGCAGAGATCACAGCTTGATCTAGCTCAGGACTGCTTTGATTATCATAACTAATTAAACAAAAGCAGGTCATTACACTTGAATCAAATCGCGATATGGACTAGTATTAATGAGGACATAAATACATGAACAACATCTCCAGAACTGCTCTGAGAGTCACTTCATGAGCATGTGAGAGAAACTATCCTCATGTCACACACACACAGAAATATAAAGGTATTCACGGCAACCCGTCAAAATAAAAGTTCGGTTTAACTTGAAGACATTGTGACAGAAATACATCATTACTGTTCAGCAGAATGAACGTAACACTACTACTATAATTATTAAAACCTTATTTTTAAAAGCAATAATCATACAATATTTCTTCAATGTTTTAATTCTAAATCCCCTTTATTTGCCAAAAAATAAACATTGTTTGATTTTCATTAATGAAAGGATAAATTAATGTTTCACGCCTTCGTTTGATAACAAGAAAAATGTAAATACACAAAAACATTTCATAAGGCTATTGTAAGAATAAATGAAACTTGTTTTTATGCATTCAAATAATTAGACATGCTAAAACACAGAATCTGGTAAGGGTGGGGAAAAATAAAACATTTCAGAGAGCCCTAAACATTTTGTTAAACTCTTAATAAATTGATGTTAAATTGTTTAAGTTTAAATTAATTAGACATGCTTTTTGATTAATAAAATTTAATTTAACCATTAAAAAGAGTCCAGAAAAATTTAAACGGAAAACAGTCTCAAGCCCTACTGAGCGTCAGATATGACTGTGTAATCATCATTATCATGATTAACGACAGGAACAGTTTTGTTACGGGTCATTTGGTTCAGTATGCATGAGTGCTGAATGAATCCAGTGTTGTTTTAATCACTGCATTTGCATAACTTCAGTGTGTGAAATATAACTCAAACTCTGAGTTTCCCCTCAATGGGACGATACAGTTGTTTTAAACATGACACATGCTTTATATTAAGCTCTTCAAACTAAACTATTGAGCTATGTGCAATCATTCTAACTATAATATACATTTTGCACTAATATTCGGCATCCAAAAGTGGAAGCGCTCAATTTGAAACAGCAGCATAAACTGCAGTATGAAGCAGTAACAGACTTTATTTCAATCCAGAAATACAGTTTATTCAGTTTAATTAAAAAGAAAAAAACAGATGCAATTTTAAGTCATGTTGTTCCCTCTGCTGCACTGAAAGTGGACCGAACCGTGAAATTTCACAAATTTGGGTTCGTGAGCTGAAGAAAAGCTACTAAATCTACTAATATAAAACAATCAGACTGAAACACTAAAAAAAGAAATGTTATATTTGCTCATCTGAAAGTCACGTGACTATTAACCAACACATGAACATGTGAATGTGTTGATAATTTATGCAAACTATTAACTTAAAATCTTTTATCTTTTTATCTAAAAAAAAATATTTTTATTCCATGAGGTTTGGCTGACTAAAGCATTTGGGAAAACCTTATTGATAAAAATGTGTGTGAATCTGATAAAACAGCAGCTATTTACAGATATTTAAGATCACTGCAGACTAGGGCTGCACGATATATAGAAATTATCGAAATATCGCAAATGTAAATATCGCAAGGGCGTGCGATATCTGAATCATTTTAATAATACGCTACTTAAATCAAAACGTTGCAAAAGGTCAAAGTTTTAGTTCGACGCATATAGCAGAGAATTGCTTGACGTTAAAAAGAGTTAAGTGCAATAAGTTGCAGAAAGTGCAGTAAGTCGCGCATCGTCCCTTCAGTTCTGCCGCACACGTGCGAAGCGAGCGCACACAGAGAGACGCATTTCAGACGGCGCGCAAACACCGAGTTGATTCGTCTTTCGCATCTCCTCCTTATGTTTGAACAGACACATACACACAGGATTATGTCAATAGTACCCATCTCGACGATCATTCTCGTAAACACAGTCAGTTATGTTTTAAATGAATGTAAACAGCTGAGAAAGAAATCGGATGTGTATCATTATACTGGATCCGTGCAGTCGGATTTAAAGGGACAGCAGCCTATAAATACCTGCTGCTGCATATAGGGCCTTTCGCACCGCTTTAGTTCCAGAACTAAATGTACAGTACTAAAGTACTGGAATGAATTCGACAGAAGCTAGGGCCACCTAGTGGCTGGGAGAGTCATTACATGGCATAAGTGTCAGTGCCAGCTAATGGTTGGGAGAGTCATTACAAGTCAGCACCAACTAGAGGCTGGGAGAGTCATTACAAGCTGAAGCCTTACACTGCTACATTGGCTGAAATTTGATGTATGCATCTGAAGACGCTGCATGGGATACTGTTTCCCAGAATGCAGCACGCTCCATGTGACATCTTCAAACGCGTGAGTGAACTGGAGGTGGGGAATAGTAATTATAAATGTAACACTTGTATTTGTACGTATATACATATACATGTAAACTACCGCTGTGTATCTAAAAACAGTATCGTTAGTAGGACATAAAGTGTACTTTAATCTCTACAGCGCGTTTCCGCTGTAAAATAATACAGTGTTGTGTACGCTTTAGGTAGGTTTTTGACCCAATAAAGTGGCATTCATCTCATACAATTTATATATATATGATAATTTACACTCAATATGTTATTGCATACTGTTTTATAATGTACTACAGTATTGAGGTATAAATATCTGCCACCTAACTACTATTTACACTCCTGTTGCTAAAGAAAATGCTGCTATTTTAGTGTAAACAGAATTGATCATTATTTGCACTTAGTGTAACTAGAATATATCGCTTTTTAATATATCGCCACTTAGTGTAACTACCAAAAATATCAATAAAGACAGCTCAGTGTTGATTTAGTTCTGTCCAATATGTAAAGTTAATCAATTATGACATGAGTTCAATTAGGCAATATAGCATTGTTTAGTATGAAGCCTTATTAACAAGCCTTTGTAAAGAGAACAGTTAGCTCAGTTGTTTCTAAGGTAACAACCTTGACAGCTGTGCTGAATTAATGTTCAGTGTTTGTCATGTGACAGCACTTAAGCATACTACTCTCAAACATTTATTGCTTATTGTATACTGTTTCACACACTATTCTTTAAAAAAAATAGTAGGCAGTATGCACTGTGTACTGCGCAGTAAGCAGTAAGCCATTTCGAACACAGCCACACACACAGCAGGTTTATTGGGTTGCTGTCACTTTAAGACTGCATGGATTGACTCTTTATTCTGTCTCTGCATTGTAATCAGGAGATGTGAAGATAATGAGTTTCAAACTGGGACGACGTGGGAGTTCCTTCTGGTTTATGATTAAAACAGGATTCTCCAGCTCCTGACTTATATTAATGAGATCCGGCGGGAGTTGTTTAATGCCCTCGGGCTGCTGCCGAAGTGTCTCATTCATTCCCTGCAGCTGTGCTGCTAACCTCCGCCTCGAATCCGGAACATTCCCCTCACAATCACAGACACACTGCTTCTGTTTACATCAACACACACCCAGATCCTCACAAACACACTTTTAGCACTTAAATCACCTTACAGTCGCTCTAATGACACCTCAAACACCGTGACATGAGACTCATAACAGCGAGAGATTACAGTAACAGAGACCGTGAGGAACACAGAGAGAGAGCGCTTCATCACTCACAGACCGTCAAACAAGCTTTATCAACACACACACACACATCTGGAACAGAATAAACACACTCCTATAACACACACGAGCGCAAGAAAAACAGAGATCTCACACCTGGAATCGTCGCTTTTGTCAGGATTCGCTCGGCGCCCCTTTAATTCCAAGATGTCCGCTGCGGAGGTGACACTGCGCATGCGCACACGCGCGGACGCGTCGTTAGAAATGACGTCACTCTCCAGGCGGTGGTTTTCAGATGGGCGTGGCTTTCATTTCTGACAAAAGACAAAACAACCCTCTGCAAATAATATTCATTGTTGCATTATTTATTATTATAGATTATATTGTGATCATTATTATTAAGCCTATTATTATTGTTGCTTTGATCAATAATAATCATAACAACATAAAATACAAATAAAAATGACTATTTCAGTTTTTTATGTTGTGTATTGAAGCTTATTTCTGCCACAGAATAAAAAAAACTAGAAAATTGCGATTTTTAAAAAAAAATCTCATTCTGACTTTTTTCTCAGAATATTTACTTTTTTCTCAGAATTGCGAGATATGAATGCAGAATCGTGAGGGGGGGGGTTCTGAGAAAATAAGTGCAATAACCTTTTTAATTTTGGCGGAAATAACGTTCTCAGAACTTTGGCTAACGTTCTAGTGAGATTCTCTTAAAGCTGCAGTCCGTACATTTTTTTTTGTTATAAATGATCCGAAATCAATATTTGAGCAAGTACATAACCAGCCAGTGTTCAAAACTATTGCCTTGCTTTAGCCTGATTCACAGCGGTTAGCTTATAATAATGTTTTGTAGTTTGAGTGGTACGGGTAGGTTTTCGCGGGAAATTCGAGTATGGCACTGCGTCATTACAACACGTCTGTAAACATAAAGAAGTAGTCCCGGCTGCTAGACTATCTATCGCGTGTGAGGATCCTGCAGGTGTGGATCGTTTATAGCCTTTTCTCACAGCAGCCGGAATAATTAAATATCATTTTGATGGTGGATTGTAATCCAGAAAGGATTATGTGTTTATGAAACACATGTGAATGAAATTAAATTATATTCCAGTTATAAATGTGCATCTGAATACAGATAGCCTATACGTGGGATTACACAAGTTTTTGTATTTTAAAGAGAACCAGTTCAAAGGAAGAATAATTAGCTTTTTGGGTTAAAAGAATTTCTTAATATTAAACTTGATTGATATGACAATTAGAGATTAGACTGTGCAGAAATTGAAATCTACATGTGATGCTAATACACACTATACTCATAGTCACACAATGCTGATGTTGTTAACATTATTAATTTGAGAATAAAGTATAACAGTAATAATAATTTGCACGGTCTGATGTGATATGAGCTAAGTGATCGTTAGATTTAATCACCATTGGTAGCGTGATTTATTGTAATGCTTTTTTCCTCAGTTGGTCAGAACAAAAGTGGCAGACTCGTTACTTGTTCAGATGACAATATCCGGTGAAAATTGTTATTTGGGTCATATATTCCAAGATTTAGGCTAGAATCTGTGATTCTGAAGTACAGTGAATATCCACACACACTCCTCAAAACATTAGATTCATCCGCGCTAGAGCCGTGACGGAGCACAACCCACATAATGAAGATAATTACACAAATAGCTGCAATTGCAGGTTTTCAAACAGAGATGGCGACAAAGAGGCAAAACTTACGGACTGCAGCTTTAAAGTTACGAATAAACATTATTGCAGTGTTCAAACTTAACTGGTCTTCAATAATCTTCTCAAAACGTTAACACACACACAAAAAAACATTATTTATACATCATTCATGGAACGTTTTTTTTTCTGGAACGATTTATTTGGACGTTAATATCACATTTTTTAAATGTTGCAGAAAACATGAAAACATTGTTTGCAAAATTATAAAATAGAATGTTATCTTAACGTTCCAATAAACAAAAAGCGTTTGAAAACATTTTAGATACTGGACGTTTTGAACTTTAAGAGAATACATGTTTTCCGTAGTTTAATGCGATCGTGATTCCACTCTCCAGTTCAGTTGGTGGCGGTAATGCACCAGAAGTTGGCTTGCCCACCGCCAATAAACGCTACAAGAAGAAGAAGAACGTTCTGTGATTGGCGGATCTGACCCGCAGGGGGCGGTGAGAGTGTGACGTCATCCGAGCGCGACGCGTGTGAAGCGCTGAAGGACAGAGAGCGAGGATTTGCATCAATGTTTCGAGTGAACGAACACAAACATCGCGGTGAGTGCTCGCACGTGTGTTTATATCAGCGCTGCGTTATTGATCAGTGGTCGATCAGGTATATACAGCAGCAGATCAATCCGTTCGCTTCGTCATGAAGCCGGTTTAATAAGGTGTCATGATCTGCGTGCTGCAGTGGCACTGTGGTTTATTAGCTGTATTAGCTCATGTGCTTGCTCACTGTGTCGCTGGTGTATTTCAGTGAGTTAGTGTGATGATGAGCGTCGGTCTGCTGTCATGCGCACTGCGGGCTCTGTCTCTGCGCTCCTCTCAGGTGAGATCTTCATCATCCTCTTCATCAGCCCTCACCTGACACCACTTCACCTGATCTTATATTCCGTGTCGCCAGATCGCCGGTGTTTCCGCTGCTCTGACCGGAAGTCGCGGCTTCATGACGAGCGCGTGTGACCGGCAGAACCGGAGCCTGTGGAAACAGCGGGACAAATACACCGTGCGACCGATCGGCGTGAAGAAGACCGGAGGACGAGACTACACCGGTCAGACTCTCTCCTTCAGCTCAGCCGGCTTTAACTAACAGTTGCATCAGTGTCTCAGCAATGGATGCTCTGCAGTGAATGGGTGCCGTCAGAATGAGAGTCCAAACAGCTGATAAAAACATCACAATAATCCACAAGTAATCCACAGCACTCCACTGGATTTTAATGTGAGAGACAACAGCAGATGAGCTTTTTCACTGGAGGAAGAGTTATTATGGATTATGGACTCTATGGTATTTTAGTTAAAATCGTCTTAATGCTGGATTAGTTTCAGCTTTTGTCTTCTCCAGATGTTAACTGATGGACTGGAGTGCTGTGGATTACTTGTGGATTATTGTGATGTTTTTATCAGCTGTTTGGACTCTCATTCTGACGGCACCCATTCACTGCAGAGCATGCTTGTGTAGAGGAAGAAGGACTGTTAGACTGAGGCAGGTGTTGATGTAGTGAGCGCTGCTTCTGATGTCTGCAGGTAAGATCATCACTCACCGGATCGGCGGAGGACACAAGCAGCGCTATCGCATGATCGACTTCCAGCGCCTGCGTTATGAAGCTGGTAAAGAGGAGCAGCCCATCGAGGAGAAGGTCGTGGAGGTCAGATACGACCCCTGCAGGTCAGTGCTTGTCCTCACGGTCAGCCCATCGCTCGCGCCGCTGCTCACTAGCGTGTTCTCCTCCATCAGATCCGCTGATATCGCTCTGGTGGCCGGCGGGAGCCGCAAGCGCTGGATCATCGCCACAGAGCACATGGAGGCCGGAGATCTGATCCAGACGTCCGGCGCTATCGGACGCATTGCTGTTCTGGCCAGAGAGGGAGACTCGCATCCGCTGGGGGCTCTTCCCGTCGGCACGCTGGTCAATAATCTGGAGCTGTTCCCCGGGAGAGGAGCGCAGTACATCCGCGCCGCAGGTACAGCACACCCCACAGGAACATAACCACAAAATATCATATCTACATGTTTTTTCTGCCGTAACAAAGAAGCTGCGTCTGAAGTGATATTTAGATGTGTTTACACACTGTTTAATGCAGGACATGAATGCATTTAACCTGCGGTTACACATGCAGAAATACTGTTTTGATATATTAAACATAAAACGTCGAATATTTGAAATGATTTAAATAATGAAAAGGTACTTTAAAGGGTTAGTTCACCCAAAAATGAAAACCAGCCCATGATTTACTCACCCTCAAGCCATCCCAGGTGTGTATGACATTCTTCTTTCAGACGAATACAATCAGAGTTATATTAAATAATGTCCAGGCTATTCCAAGCTTTATAATGGAATGAAGTCGAAAAAATGGCACCCATCCATTACAAAAGAAGTCCACACGGCTCCGGGGGGTTAATAAAGGCCTTCTGAAGCAATGCGATTGTGTAAGAAAAATATCCATATTTACAACTTTATAAACCGTAATCTCTAGCTTCTGCTAACTGTGGTACGCGCGGAAATCCTTTATATGAACGAAGGCATCCAGCTATGACTGTAGCGGAGTAAAAGAAGATGGAAACGCTTTGAACGATGAAACATTAAGACAATAAACACTCGACTGCCACAATGATTCGTTTATCTGTGTTCTCAAAACCACTTCAGGTATTTTCATAATAATGAAGTATATTTATAATCCATTGCTAACCGACACAGCCCTTATTACAGTACAGAATATATATTTCTGCATCATTCAGAGATAAAAAGATCACAAAAGTAAGTTCTTTGTTCCATTCAGCTGATGTTGTGGAGTATATGTTCTGTTCTGTTGGATAGCGGGTTCAGAAACGCTAGGTTTGAGTACTGCGCGTAGTTTACAGTGACATGAGTGTACCTCGAGCTTGGCAGGTGTGTACGAGTCGTGACTGTGTCTGTCTGCAGGAACGTGTGGAGTGCTGCTGCGTAAAGTCAACGGCACCGCCATCGTCCAGCTCCCGTCCAAACATCAGATCCAGGTGAGCCACGGCCAGGACTTCACAAGACCTGCGTGACCGTCTCTAGCCTTCATGTTGTGTTCCAGTCATATTCACTCTTCTGAAGATTCTAGTTAATGTTATTGCGTTGGACTAAACCCTGACTTTGCTCACACAGAGTAGAACAACTTGTCAAAAAACAAAAAGATAACTTTTGTACTTCTTGGGGGATTTTCCCCACCTTGTTACATTCAAGAATGACAACCTACAAAAAATGTTATGTTATAACTCTGAGCCGAGATCAGTTCAGACATCAGATGCTTGCAGTGTTTTGTAAGTCCGACTGAAAGCTGTGTGATGTGTGCTGGAGTCACAGGAGAGCTTGGCTGGGTTTCTCTCCTCAGGTGTTGGGGGCGTGTATGGTGACGGTCGGCCGGGTATCAAACGTGGAGCACAACAAGCGTGTGATCGGAAAGGCGGGCCGGAACCGCTGGCTGGGCATCAGACCGAGCAGTGGCCTGTGGCAGAGGAAGGGCGGCTGGGCCGGACGCAAGATCAGACCGCTGCCGCCCATGAAGCGCTTCGTCAGCCTGCCGTCTGCAGCCAAATCATGAGCCCAGTCTGCCCAAGAAGTGCATCAGTTACTCAGCCCCGTGTCATCCAAGATCTTCATATCTGTCTTTTTATTTCGGAAGTGGACTTATCCTTTAATATAACACCCATCACTGCAATAAAGCAGACTGTCAGCTGAACACGCGCCCGGCTCATCACTCACACAATCACAGACTCATTCACCAGTGCATAAACACCTCTATTAAACACAGCTGCGTGTGCTAGCATGAAAGCAGCAGCGCTATAAAATGCCATTACATACTCCAAATATAAAACATGCAAAGGTACAGCATTAAAAAGGGTCACATCATTTAAAAATGAGTTTCTGTGGAAAGGTCCTGCAGTGGATTATTAATTAGATTATCTGGAGTTATGTGAGACGTGACCAGTGTTGGGGGGAACGCATTACAATTAACGCGATCACATTACTTTTTTTAAGTAACTAGTAAAGTAACATGTTACTTTTTAATTTAGAGGGAAATATCAGAGTTACTTTTTCAAATAAGTAGCTCCAGTTACTTTGTATCCATGTGTTGAGTGACAGCTCTGGTGTTGCCATGGTGACAGAAATCAGGAGTAAGTGCAGAGCGTTGTGTGTGAACATGATCTTACTGTAGTTCTAGACTAAATATCAACATGTGTTTACTCATCTCACTGCACACAAACACATTCAGTGTTCTTCAGAATCAATAAATACGGTCAAATGCAAACTCAGAATATTATACAAACCTGCAATAATTATGTTAAATAAGAAATATCATTTATGTATTTAATCACATTTTATTAACCGATGTCTTTGCTACTGACCTTCGATGATCCAATTCAATCATACTAAGCAAAAATAACACATTTGTGTTTCATTTTAGTTATTGCTGAATAGTGTTGAACTTTCTTCTCCTGCGTCATATTCTTCATGCAAAAGAAGAACTTTTTATATTAAAAACAAACAAGCAAGCCCCGCCCAGATTTAAAAAGTAATGTAACGCATTACTTTCCATAAAAAGTAACTAAGTAACATAATTAGTTACTTTTTTAGGAAGTAATGCAACATTGTAATGCATCACTTTTAAAAGTAACTTTCCCAACACTGGACGGGACCTGTTCAATACAGCTCTCAGAAATCACACGCAACTCCAAACCAGAGTTAAAACACAGACGTGACGAGATACAGAGTTCATCATTAACTCTCGTCTAACACCGAATCCTTGCTCGACCGCACACACGGAGAAAGAGTTCATAGTGGTTCTTTAAGCGATAGTTTACCCAGAAATGTGTTCCTGCAGCACAAAAGCAGTGTTAAGTCGCTGGGGTATATTTGTAGCAATAGCCAACAATACATTGTATGGGTCAAAATTATACATTTCTCTTTTATGCCAAAAATCATTAGGATATTAAGTAAAGATCATGTTCATGAAGATATTTTGTAAATTTCCTACCGTAAATGAAAAGATGATTTTCTCAATATTTACAAATCTCACAAAATTAACCCTTATGACTGGTTTTGTGCTCCAGGGTCATATTCTGTCATCATTTCCTCAAATTACACAAACCTGTGTGACTGTATTTCATCTGTGAACGTAAAAGGAAAATATTCTGAAGGACACTGGGACATTTCTCAAAATATCTTCTCACAGAAGAAAGTCAGTCATCGGGGTTTGAAGGACACGAGTAAATGATGACAGAATGATGGTTTCTGGGTGAACTGTCTTTAAATCGATGTGCTCATACGCTCCGAACTCTTTACTGTAGTAAAAGTGCAAATACTGTGTAACTCTGGTGTTGATGAAGCAGCTCTCATGAACTGCAATCTCATTGTAAGCGGTTGTTTTGGGAGTAAAAACAGGGTACAACACTGAAGTCAGTCATGAGAATGGACTCTGACCATCTCAATACATTCATCACCAAATACTGTAACCCAGAAATGTGTTCCTGCAGCACAAAAGCAGTGTTAAGTCGCTGGGGTATATTTGTAGCAATAGCCAACAATACATTGTATGGGTCAAAATTATACATTTCTCTTTTATGCCAAAAATCATTAGGATATTAAGTAAAGATCATGTTCATGAAGATATTTTGTAAATTTCCTACCGTAAATGAAAAGATGATTTTCTCAATATTTACAAATCTCACAAAATTAACCCTTATGACTGGTTTTGTGCTCCAGGGTCATATTCTGTCATCATTTCCTCAAATTACACAAACCTGTGTGACTGTATTTCATCTGTGAACGTAAAAGGAAAATATTCTGAAGGACACTGGGACATTTCTCAAAATATCTTCTCACAGAAGAAAGTCAGTCATCGGGGTTTGAAGGACACGAGTAAATGATGACAGAATGATGGTTTCTGGGTGAACTGTCTTTAAATCGATGTGCTCATACGCTCCGAACTCTTTACTGTAGTAAAAGTGCAAATACTGTGTAACTCTGGTGTTGATGAAGCAGCTCTCATGAACTGCAATCTCATTGTAAGCGGTTGTTTTGGGAGTAAAAACAGAGGGTACAACACTGAAGTCAGTCATGAGAATGGACTCTGACCATCTCAATACATTCATCACCAAATACTGTATGTGACGCCATTAAAACAATCCCAAATAAACACACAGGAGAAGCACCATTAAACACAACCAGAGAAGTGTTTCGGAGTTCATCTTCTGCAGTGTGTGCTTTGAAAGGTTTCAGATTCACTGTGTAACACATTAATTCAAGTACTTTACTATAGTATGCTTCAAAAACACTGTAGTAGTTACTGTAATTTACTATAGTATTTTTTCATGTGGGCTAGTACACTCAAGTGTACTACAAGTGCTGCCTAAATACAGAGAGAGTGTGTTAAAAGCACATTTGAGTTCATATTCATGGTGTCCCAAAATAGCAGAGTTAGTTGATCTTACGTTTCTCTTAAGAAGAACTAAAGAATCGTTTTTAGTGTATTAAGTGCCTGGAATAGAATTCAGAATCTGGAGTTCATGAATCCTCTTTCAGAGTGAATCACCCAGAAACACGACATGACACACACACACATACACTCTCTCTCTCTCTCACACACACACACACACACACACTCTCTCTCACTCTCACACACACACACACACA